ATGAATGAAATTTACCCGTAATTTTCCTTAGTGTAATGTCCCTGCCAGGTTTGTTATGAAGGTTTGGTTAGCTCATAAAATGAGTTGAGCAGTGTCCTCTTTACATTCTTTAAAAAACAAAATCATAAATGAGTCTAATCTAAACATAGTAATTTAAAATATATATAGTGTATGTTAGATATATTAGTCAGGGTTCTCCAGAGAAATAAAACTGATAAGACAAAGATATAGTATACATATATGCAAGAGGAGATTTATTCCAGGAATTGGTTAGCACAACTACGGAGGCAAGAAGTCCCATGATCTTCTGTGTGCAAGCTGGAGACCCAGGAAGGCTCATGGTGTAACTGAGTTCAAATTTGAAGGCCTGAGAATAGCTGGGCAGGGGATGGAAGCAGGGTGGAGTTAGTATAAATCCTTTTTGAATTCTGAGGGTCCAAGAACCAGAAGGCTTGATGTTCAAGGGCAGAAGAAGATAAATATCCAGCTTAAGCAAAGAGAGAAAATTTCCTCACTTTCTCAGCTTTTCTGTTCTATTCAGGCCTTCTGTGGATTGCGTAATGCCTGCCACACTGGGGACAGAATCCTCTTTACTTAGTCTACTGATTCAAATACCAGTCTCCTCCAGAAACACTCTCCTGGACACACAATGTTCACGAGCTGTCTGGGCGTCACTGAGCCCAGTCAAGCTGCCACAGAAGTCAGCCATCGCAGTGAGTATTCACCACAATTTCCTTTCATCCCAGGCTTCTGTATATTTGAACTTAGACTTAAGGCAGGAAGCTGTTTTTTGGGTGAATTTTGACTGGGAACGTGAATACAAATTAGACTCTCTTCTAGTTTTCATATGGCACACAGCAGTATGCTCGTGTGCCCAAAGCTGAAGTGTTTTACTGCATCTTGGTCCTGGAGCCCATGATTAAGGGCCCCTCCTGGGTTTAAAGAACCTATAAGGAGGGAGACTTTTTGGACATGAGACAGACATTTGGTTAAAACACCTCCTCCCCACTGGGAACCTCCAAAGCCTATTTTATTTCTTACTTTTGACCCCTCAGTCAGTGTTCTACAGAGGTTTAAAAAAAAAATCTCCTTCAATACTGTACTCTCATGCCTTACCCCTTCTCTCCATTCCTACTTACATTTGTCCTAGTTCAAGGCCTTATCACCTCTTGCCTAGGCTATGGCATTTGTGGGACAGCTCAGTCTTCATTTCATCCTCTTCCCAATCATCCAAGTGCTCTGAGTAGAAAATTGGCCCCGGTGGTCCCTTGTGGGAACCTGCCTGGTGGTTCTCCATTGCCGTACAAGGTGAAGTCAGGGATCCTTGACATGGCTTATAAGCCCTCTGTGGTCTGGCTCCTGCCCCACCCCTCGGGGTCTTCTCCTTGCCCCTCTCTGACCTTGGGCATTACCATCCAGTGGCTCTCTCTGCTTGCAGTTCATGCGTTCCTCTGGGATTTCTTGTGTCCCAGCTTTTGCACATGCTGCTCTTTCTCTCTGGGTAGTCCATTCTTTAACGAGCAGCTCAGGCCAGATGCCTGGACTGCATGACCTCCTTTCTGCCTGTGCCTGTGTCTCTGTGGTTACACTGTGAACTCTTTGTAGGTAGGCCCTCGGTCTTAGTCATCGGTGAACATCTGTAACTTGCGAGTGCTGTTAGATAACATGAATGCTCACGAAACATTTGCAGATTCAAACAGAAGGGACGACACTGACTAGTTGACTAGTTTGAATTTCACTTTGTCTCCTTTTGGAAGTCTGAGATGAAATAAAATGGCCAGAATGTCATGCATGACCAAAAGGGAGGCAGGACAGCAAAAACTAGGGGAAAGTTGGCAGATACAGCCTCTTCCTGTATGGCTGAATTCAGTTCAAATGATTACAACTCTCTTATGTTGGAATATGCTTTTTGTAGAAGATATGAGTGACAAAGCTTTTCTGTAAAGATAGATTTTCCAGGAAAACAAATCTGATCAAATTTACTGTGAGAATTTAAATGAAAAAATAATCTTATTTAAATGGCAAATTGACTAATATACTTTTTCTTTTTATTATTAATAAAAGAGTTTACCCAGAAACTCTGTAAGAAGTTGTGTGAGAGATTCACAAGAATCATTAAAGTCTCTAGTAGACATTCACTTTCACATTGTAAAATTGGCTATACCCTCAAAATGGTATCACAGAAAAATGGACTTTCTGAGGCTCTTCTATATGAATGGGTTTTAGTTGCACAGTGGTGCCATTCATTTTATTTGGTTCATTTATTGCCAAGTACATTCTAAATTTGGCCTTAATTATTTTTCCTTTCACAAAAATATTTTGTGGGATTTTTCTGAGCCCTGACTACTTCCTTCTTGCCCCTTAACACGGAATCCAGGAGCATTATTTTTGTTCTCTACTAATTAAAATAATTGCTTAGTTCCTTTTAACTAGATTCATGCAGTTATTAGCCTAATACATGGATGGGTGCCACAGAGTGCTTGAGAAACAGAATGAAAAGTGATCGTGTAGCTTCACATGAAGACAAATTCCATGGTGCCAAGGAGTATTGTGGCCTTTCAGCAGGCATCTCATAAAGGCCTTTGGTAAACCTGGCCCTATACCCTTACTAAAAGACTATTAAGTGGAATAATAGCACTTTTTTCTTTATTAGTTGTACAGAAAACTCAATACAATTTGAAAAGTTTTCTGTATAACTCTCGATAAGCTTGATAAGCTGGGTATGGCACGAAGACCTGTGGTCTGGCTTTAATCTCTGCCCCTGCTTTGTCTTTCAGAATGACCACATTTGAAGGATGGATGCTCTGGGTCCCCTCTGCCACTTGGTCTCTATCAGAGGACAGTGGGGGAGGAGGTATACAAGCGCCTGGCTAGACGTAGTAATCAAGAGTTGTCAGGACCCTGGCTCTAAAGGGAGGTGTTAAAATAATGTTTTTGACATTAAGACTTTCCTCAGAGTTGTAGTCCAAAAGTCTGGCACAAAAAGGCCCTAAGGCTAAATCGCAGACCTGCTGTCTGCTTTCGTAAATGAAGACTTGTTGGAACCTCGCCACACCCCTTCGTTTGCGTGTTGTTGGTTTTGTGCTGCAGTGTGGAGCAGTGGCTCTGTGGTCCCCAAAGCCTGAATGATTTACTATCTGGTCCTTTACAGAAAATGTTTGCTGACCCCCAGTGTGGTCTAGTCAATTCACTGTATAGCTACTAAATACCCACTCCAAGCTGAGATATTTGTGGGAATTTCTATAGTGGCCGTCATTTGACCAGGACCTTCGTAGTGTGCAGTGTTATGGGTGTTCAGTGCATGTGTACGGACAACAGAAAGTGAGAAGAATTGGGAGCAAGTAAGAAGGATTTGGAGCAAGGAGTCATGGTTTGAGAAGAGGTTCTGCCATTATGGTCTCAATGGCAAGTAAGTGATCCTGCACGGGCTTGGTTCACCCTTTGTCTGCTGCCGGGAGGAGGAGGTGTGGACACAGCTGGAACTTCTGACCTGAAGGGCACCTTTATTAACTGCTTCCAGGCCAAAATATGGGCACCCTTTGCCACCAGTTGGTGGTTGGAAAGGTCAAATAAGAGAATGTAAGCCCAAGTGTTTTCTAAACCATAAGGTTGCTATTTTGTGGCATAGACATTATCTATAAAAACGTTAGAATAAGTGTTATTTCTACTTGGCATGTGAAAAATGACTCAGCCTACCCAAGATCAAATAGTAATTCAACAGAAGAGCTGACCCCTGGGTCTTCTGGTTCTAAGTCCCTGCTCTTTTCAGTTTATTACATGATTTTTTTACATCATGCTTCTTTCCAGGGTTTCAGAAATGCTCATTTCTTTAGTTCATTTATTCATTCATTCACTATTCAACATTGTTTAAGAACCTGCTATGAATTAGAAAGAAAAAGCTGAATTTTTCAGGGAGAGTGATAACTGCATAAAGACAAGTTGGAAGACTCTTAGGTCAGTTTTGTTCTTGGACCCCTCTGGCTAGAATCCTCTAGAAGTTTATAGGTCCTCCTATTGATTTCCCCCATGCTGTTCACGGAGTTGAAGAAACAGAGTAGATGGGATGAGAAGGAGAGAGCAGTCCTGCCACCTAACAAAACATCGCCTGACTTGGAGCTAGAGGAGTTGAGGAAGGGACCCGAAGTCTATGCAGGGAGGACAGACCCTTCTGACAGTTTGATGTGGACCTGTGATGTTGATTGCAGATTGCTGGCCTCCAGCATTGTAAGATAGCACATTTCTGTGTTTTAAGCACCCACATTTGTGGCAATTTGTAACAGTAGCCACAAGAAATTAATACAGAGAACATACTCTCAGTGCATAAACTAGCAGGTCTCAGGATATCCTGGGAGGAGGGAGAGGAAGGAAGAAAAAAGAATTTATTTGCCACATTCAACCTCTGATTTTTCAATGGTTTTCCTGATGAGACATTAATACTCCTTTACTTCCCCTCTAACATCCGGACTGAGTGAGCATGGTCAGGCCCTGAGTTTTGCTAGAGTCTCATGCTTTAGGGGTAACAGGAAGCCCTGGGGTGGGAGGGCAGAGACAGTCAAGAGGATGTGGGAAGGGGCTGCATTGGTTGTGCCCTAGGAAGTCCGTGGTACAGAAACTGGAGGAGAGAAACAGGAGGAGACAGTCCAGAGCAGTGTGGCCAAGTTACTGTCTGAGAGGTGACATGAAACGGGGTCTGAAACAGTGGTCTCCTTGGTCCTCATCCCAGCCCCATGAGGCTGGTATGCTGTGATTTCCTCAGCAAGCATGCGCTCCCCAGCCTGGAACACTGTTGGCTCTGGAGCTCACTGTGCCTCAGGGCTGTGTGTCTGTTTCAAATGCAGTAACTGAAGTCTCAGCCTTCAGCTGGGTCAACACCTGCTATCACAGAGCACTCCATGTTTGGCTTTAGTCTTACTTCCTGATGTATATGAAATAAGGCTCATTTTTACACATGAAATCTCCAAATATTTGAAGACAGTTTTTATTCTTTCTTTCCCCACCAGGCAAGGCACGCCCTGTTTCCTCAACTTGGGCCTTACAAGGAGTTTGTCTTTGTGGCTGGGGGCCATGCCGCTTCTCCTCTGGGCCTGTGGCAGGTGCGCCCCTGCCTTACCAGGATGCTCACAGAGTGCGCCAGAACTCCAGGTATGGCCTACTTGGGCACACAGGGGACTCGCCTCCTTGGTGCTTACATTACAAATGTAGCCAGTTATTTTATTTAACTTAATGAATGTTATTTTTATTTAACTTAAAATTTTGAGTACTGCATACTTTTTAAAAAAAATTTGTTTTTTCTTTATTTTTACTGTTGACACTATTGCAGATGCCCCCATTTCCTCCCACCCTGTTATGCCCCTCCTCCCATCCCCCAATCCTCCTCCCTCTGGCTGCCCCCACACTGTTGCCTGTGCCCATAGGTTATGTGTATATGTTCTTTGTCTAATCCCTTGACCTTCTTTCCATCAGCCCCCTCCTCAACCCTTTCCGACAGCTGTCAGTCTGTTCATGTGTTGTTTCTAGTGGTACTACACAGAACGTTGATTAAAATGCCCTCTTCTTACACCGGGGTACAAATGACTATGTGGAAGTGTATGTTAATATTAAAGGTGCCCTAAGAGCCCCAAATAGTTCATCAGTTTGTAAGTGGCATTACCATGTGGCAGAGATCAAAATGCCATCCCATGTCATGGAATGTAGATAGATATCCGTAGTTTCATGCAGAACTGCCACGCCAGACTGAGGAGTGTCCTTGCTCAACCTGCCCCACCACTATCCTTCTTCCACAAAACAACCCGCTGGAAAGCCGAACCCAGTTCCAGAGCACCTTCTAGCCTGGTGGAAATGTCTCTGAGTGGACACATTTCCTCTTGTCAGGCAGCACCAATCTGGGCTCTGTTTCCAGTCCAATCTAAGTCTCCAGGAACTTCTGCAAGAAGAGCCATTCTTATGACTAAAGTTCAGCGTGGATGGGAGCTTTATATCTATTATGTCTCATCTTCACAGCAGCTCTTCAAGGCAGACATTACAGTGTTCAGATAAATTAAGGTTTGGTTCAAAGTAACTCTCCTATCGCTGTAGAGTAGCAGACCTAATGTTCTGACTCAGGAAGTTAAGCCCTTCTGTTCCACCATGTGGTAGACAAGTAATTTTGAAGCTGTAGGAGAGGGGAGGGGTTCTTTGAACCACTGCAGATGGACCAAACCTGGAGCTGAGCCTTCCAGGCTCCCCGAAGGAGCTGCGTAGCACACAGTGGGCATGACATAGCTCAGCTTCTGTAGGTTTTCCTTCAGTGATGGGGTCTTTTAATGTTATATATATTAGGAAATAAGGCCCTGCCACATTCTGGACCAGCCTCTACAGTTCACAAACATGGGCAGTTTGGGTTTTGAGGGTTTTTTTTTGACCCATCTATTCACTCAGGGCCTTCTTGGTTTCTTGGGCCAAGGCAGAATAGGGAGGGAAGGTCAGAGGTTCTTGCTGTTGGCCACACACCCTGTGAGTGGTTGGGGTTTGAACTGAAGGTCTTAAGTGTCTAGTTTGCTGAATCTGGTTTATGCTAAAGTGCCAAAAGCATCTGAACTTCCTCTGGGCTCTCTACCTATATCTAGATGTTTTCAAATCTGGGTGGTAAAATATTTAATGAAATATTATGCAACACTTAATGTTTAGTTTCTCTTTTCACCTTGACCTCATTCAAGCAAATAGTCCAATGCCTACTCATTGCTTTGGGCAAAGAAAGTGACAGTGATAAATGAGTCTTCCCTTGGTTGTGGCAGATTCTTTAGGTTGACACCCTCAATCCCCTCTTTAATTCCTTTGTAACTGGCAGTTACTTGCAATGGGGGCTAGAAAGCTAAAAGATCACCTTTCTAGACCCCTTTACAAATCGAAGTAGGCATATGCCTCTATCATTGACCTGTGAAACTTAGGCCATGGCCTTTTGAAGACACTTCTTTTATACCTGGCTTTTTCCTTGCTTGGAAAGCATGTGATGCTCAGGCTACAGCTGCCATTGCGGAACAGTGGCTGGGCAGAGGATTGAAAGTGCCTGGTTCCTTGATTGCATCTTTCAGCGGTGTGCTGGATTTTTTTGTTGTGTCCCATAATACATTTGTATTTGGTCAAGTCTCTGCTGTTGGGTTTGTGTGATATTTGGCCAAGTATAAGCCCTACTCACTGTCTTGCTTTGATTTTCTTTCTTTTTTTTAGAGGAGAATTTATTTATTTATTTATTTCAGATTTTTATGTATTTATCTTTAGAGGGTAAGGGAAGAAGAGAGGGAGAGAAATGTAAATGTATGGTTGCCTCCCATGGGTGACTTGCTGGGAACTGGCCTGCAACCCAGTCATGTACCCTGACTGGGAATCAAGCTGCAATCCTTGGGTTCGCAGGCCCTCGCTCAATCCACTGAGCTACACCAGCCAGGGCTTGCTTTGATTTTCTATAGCTTTGGAACTTAGGAGAACAGAAAGGCCTTAGGGCCCAGCTAAAGACTTGAGAGAACAAGTCTGTGGGGACATTTCAGTCATGATGATAAGGATGTAGAGTGAGGGAGATTGGTCCTTGCGCTCTCTGTTTTTTAAAAGCTTGTGTTTATTTTACTAGAGAGATTGTATTTATGTATTTTAGAGAGAGGGCAAGGGAGAGAGATGTCAATGTGTAAGAGAAACATTGATTGATTTCCTCTCTCATGTCCCTAGCCAAGGACCTTGCCTACAACCCAGGCATGTATTTTGACCAGGAATTGAACTGGCAACCTTTTGACTTTCAAGGTGATCCCCAACCCACTGAGCCACATCAGTCAGGTCTACCCTTGTTCTCGTGACACCTGGAAAAGGACCATGAGGATGAAACAAGAGCGTGTCCAGGACAGCTTCAGCAAACCGATGCCTGAGGGAGGACCAAGTGGCAGAATTGAATACTATCTCAGCCCTTGACTGAGAACACACATGACCTCAGGCACTGATGGCCTGTCCCCTACCAAGTCTTAGGACTGAAGATCCCCAGAACTTAGCCATGCTTTAGGGGAAGGCAAGACCCCCCCAAGACAGTTTCTGTCACCCTTGAAGAATAAAGCTTCTAAGTAGAAATTATAATAAAATATAAAATTTTATATTTTTAATCTACCTGAGTTATGGACTGAGCTTTGTATTAGGGTGGGTAGAAGACAGAGAAGCATTCTTCGATAAGTTGCCCTCGGGTAAGCCCTCAGGTCGGGCCTGCCTTTGACTCAAAGGGCTGGGGGATGGGGCAGAGCTGCTGGAGGTCAGTTTCCAGGATCTCAGAACCAGCCTCTGTGACTGCTCCTTCCTCATCCCCACAATCTGTGAAGTGTGCCCCCTTGGTCCCAGGGCTGGGACCCTGTGCAGGAGGATTCAGGTTGAAGACTCAGGGAGGGTGGGCAGAGGGAGGATGGTTGCTTCTCTGTGCTCCTGGAGTGGCTGAACGCTGCTGTGATGGAGGGGAGGACTGAGCCAACTGGTGTTTATTTTGGAAATGACTATAATTAAGCCAAACCATTTCCTGCCTTTTTGAAAGCCCACTACTTTTCTGACTTTCTTTCAGATAAACTCAGTTCACTTGAGCAGCAGCAGTTACTGGGTAGCTCAGAGTGGGCTGTCTGGTTTTGAGTGCCTCTCTAGCACCTAATAACTGGGTGACCTTGGGCAAGTCACTTTAGGTATCTCGGTATTATCTGTAAAAGGGAGCCTGCTTCATAGGATTGTGGGAGGAGGGTAAAGACCTCGGACTGGCACACAACACATGATCCACATGCGTGTGAGCATCACTCTGTGCATGGGCCCCAGAGACCCTGGTCAGGCTCCCTCACCAACACCATTGTCTCCTAGAAGTCAGCAGGCACATTACCGTGAAAGAGCTACATCACCACACACAAACTGACACCTTCCTTTTGACAAGAGCAATGAGCAACAAGTGGGTGCTCTATTCTACAGTGGGTGGCTATTTTTTGCAAAATAGCCTTACTTTTTGCACTTTATTTTAGAAAGGGACGTTTGCTTCAACTCATTCTCATTGTATTCCCTTGGAAGTCTCATCACTGACCCCTGCAGAAGGGAACCTTCTGCTCCACCCCAGTAGGGGCTTTTCAAAATTGTTGACTTGTATTGCAGGGTCAAACTCCCGATCAGAAAGTCAAGTACAGTTGGAATAAACCTTTTAAAGAAAACTCCAAATTACATCATTTATAGAGACACTTTATTTTCTTGACTCAATTATAATAGTTTTCCCCCTGATGACAATGGTTCTCCTCCTCACAGTCATCACAGCAATGGGCCCTACTCTTCCTCACACCTCTGAGGAAAGGGTTCTCAGCGTTTCACTCTGTTGCCTAGAAGAGATGGATTCCAATGAGCTCCTTCCCTTCATTCATTATGCTGCAGTCATATTTCTAAGGGACAGAGATGAATGCTGTGTATGTATCTGATTACACTGCCTATTGTTTTAAATCTTTTTTCACAGACTTTCCCCTTGCAATAGACATTTAGTGGCACAACGCATTTGCAAGTTACATCTGTATCAGCGGTTTCCTCTATAGTGTTTATGTAGCATGTGTGTGTGTGCAGACCTGTGTGCATGTGCTAACTCAGCGGTCCCTTATTATGCTCAATATGTATTCAACAGTGATGAAACAATGGCAGTTTAAACAAAAGACAAGGTTGGGTATACATTTTACTGACCAGTTAAGCCAATCACACAGTTGTGGAAAATACCAAATATACAAATTCCATTAAAATGGAAAAGTACAAGGAAACAATATTAACCAAAGGCCTTCACCCTGGATGGCAGACTCTCCATGGTCACGGGCAGTTCAGCAAGTGTCTTCCAGGTCATTTTCTAATATTTTTGCTTTTTAGCAGGGTCTGAGGAATAGGACTGACTGCAAATATCTCAGTCCTTGCCCACCACTCTCATCAGAATCTTCATTAATCTTTGAGTTCCTTGCCCCCACTTTACCCAAAGAATAATGCCTTCCCTGAAATTACACAAAAATCAATGATAGAGTTAATTGAAATTGGGATCTCTTAATGTTTTTCTCTTTCTTAAGTGATTGCTTAGTTTCTGAAATTGAGGTTTAACTCAAACGACAGCTCTAGCTGAGGGTGAGTGAATTGGTAAGGGAGAGATGATAGCGGTAGATAATTTTCCCAGTGACTGAAAGATAGTGTTGACATTCAGGATTTTATTTCTTTTGAAGTTTTACGTGGGCTTAAGGAATGTGAAGAATGACCAGGGTGTTAAGGCACAGTCCACCGGTCTGCTGTCTGCTTAAAGGGTTGAATGTGCGTTGAAAGTTGGCTTCTTCCCTTTCCTCACTGAGGGAAGAGGGGACCTGCAGGAGGCATTACTGACCACTAGACGGTAGCTAGCTTCTTTATTTTAATGATTCTCCATCTTTGTGATAATGGAGATATTCATATCATAGGTAGTTGGGCCTGTCATTGGCTTAGTACTGGCAGTACTTTTTGTATTCAAGTGGTTTATAACATGCAAAATACTTTTACTGTACTCCCACAGATTCTCACATCAATTTTCTGAGATAGACGGGGCTGATGTTTTCATCTCTACTTTGCAGAAGAAGAAATTGAGGCTTTAATGGGTTGGAATTTGCCCTCAAAGTGACATAACCAGTGATAGGGCAAAGTGTGTCCAGTTTAGGCTTTTAGGGGAAGAGATGGTGGAGAGCCAGCACTTACCTTGATGGAGCTCCTCATGACTGGGTGGGCCAGGCTCATCTTGAGCCAGTGGGAACCCACATGGCATTTCTATGGTACCCTCAGTTAATGCCAGTCCAGCCATGGGGCACTGAAATGCCAAATGCTGGCTCTGACTCATATTTGTAGCTTCCAAACTATTTAGACAGAGGACTCCAAAAGGCATCTGGTCAAGCTTTGCTAGGGGAGAAAACTTATCCTCTTGATTCCTGAAGCCCTGAAGTCAGGGATTTGATTATGCTTATCATGATCTCAGCTTTCATGGCTCCAAATGTGATTAGTTTTCTAATTAGTTAATGTCATTACCTGTCATCAAATCCAGACAACATTGGTCTCTAAAACCTCCTGTGGCCTAGAAACCTACAACCTTGTATCTTTCCACTGTTTAATAGCATTTCTTTAATAATCTCGCCACTATCCTCTCATTCCTAGACCTAGGGAGATATTTTTTAAGGCAATTTAAAATTCTTCATTCTGCTTTCCAAAACTTGTCTTCACTTCCCACCCTACTTTTCATATATATATCCCTTTTCCTTCATATATATATGTATGAATGACTCTCTTGTTTTGGGCAGAATGGTCAAAATAAGAAAGTTTACCATAGGGAAACATCTCATTAAGGGCCATTTTTACTTTATATGAAATGCTGCTTGTCTTATTAATTACTTACTGTTAAATACTGGACAAATGGTTTTCTTTTTTGCTTCTATTCAGTCCTTCAACAGATGCTCTCCGAGTGCTTATCCTGTGAAGATACTAGGGAGCCAGCAGGGAACAGACGAGCTTAGTACTCATCTTCTGTGAGCTTATGTTCTAGTGGGGGCAGGCAGACGATAAGAAATGAATGTTTAAGAGTCAAATATATACTGCATGGGCTTGACATTTTTCATTTGCCCCTTGGACCCCATCTCTCCTTTTGCACCCTGCTACGTGGAGAACCCTGGGGAGGTAGGTCAGTAGAGGTGGCACCAATGTCTTCTTCGCCCTCACGGTCTGGCCGTGTAGGGAGCCAAAAGAGGAGGAGCGGGACAGTGAAGTCAGGGTGCTGCTGCTCCAGTACCTTCTGCCGCCCTGAGGGCGACACAGTTACTTTCCATCCATGGGAATCAATCACCCCTCCCCAGTGCTGCTTCAAGCCTAGGGGTGGTAACTGCTCAGTGCAGTTTTGGTTTTCTTAACTCTAACTATACCTGTGGACAGAGAGCCTTCGTTAGTCAGTCTCCCCCAGCCCGCTGTGTGAACGGGCCCTCTGTTTCCCACTGGGGCCCAGACTGCCACAGGAGGTTAGAAGGCAATGCCAGGGGAAAATGCCATTTTTCCATGGCTCACTTTATCACAATACTGCTTATAGTCACCTGTCCGGTTTGGAGTGAATGTCATCAGGCTTCAGGCTGCATTGCTCCCTGTGACTCAGTCACTTCTCGGTAAAGCCCTGTGATTCATTATCATTCATTATACATCACAAAGCGAGGGCACCTCTCTTGCAGGTTCTCGGAAGGCAGCAGTTGTGTTCTGTAATGACTGGCGAACCCTCGGGCAACGAAGAACTGCTCATTCGTAGACCAGTCCATCAAGCTGCCAGCAGCCTACAAGAAGGTGTCCCAGCACCTCAGTGTGGTCCCCGAGACTCTTCCCAGGTAGCTCTGCCTTCTGCCAGCACTGCCCTTGCTCTGTGCTCACAGGGCCACTTGTATGTCTCCAGACCCCATTGTATTCCTCCAGGACAAAGCCCATTCAGGAATCCTCTCAGAAGCCTTCGTTAGCTTCATCAGCTTGAAGGAGGGGGCCTTTATCTTTTTTCTAAAGGTTAAATGTTAATTTTTTTATTTTCCTAATTATAAAAAAAAATGCATGTTGACTATAGGGAACATAAAATCCAGAAGTTAAAAAAATTCATCTAACTTTCGTACTTTAGCGCCATGAACATTTTGGATGTAGTTAGGGAGCTTTATATTTTGGGGAAGCATTGTCAAGCCATCTCTGCTGACTGGCTCCTTTTTGCTTTCTAAAGAACTTTCATAGATTCTTGGACTCTTGCACACTGGCCTGGACTGTCAACTTAAGCCAAACCAAGTATTTTCCTTGCCTGCATTTAAGCTTATTGCTTAGGTTTGGAGTGAATCTGCCCTCTGAGCTTTGCAGCTCACGGCAGCTCCTCTTTGTGGCCCGGAGTGCACCCCCATTTGTGGGTGGTTTATATATGTATCACTTTCTTTCTGGAAGCTGCTGATGATGGATGCCATCCGGTCAAGAGGCTTTGCTCCTCTGTTCAAGTTTTTTAGCCTACTCCAAGATTTCCCCCCTAGAGACTTCAGTATATGTTAAGTCCATGCTAGGGTTTCCTGTGCAAAATGCCTTCAAAATATAAAGTTCCCCATTCTCTTGATGGTGAGAGTGATGCAAAAAGAAACAACATGTAACAGTTTTGTTACCTGATGGCATTTATTAGTTAGCTCCCCTCAGAAACAGCACTGAGAGAGTCATGTGGATTTCAGTCATACTCCAGGGGAATTTGGCAACAAAAGCCCCTGAGTATACACTGTTCGTATGTACATTTTTTCTCTGTAATAAATAATAAGGATAATAGTCTTTATTTAATAATACACTCAAGAATCATTCAGTATAAGTTTAAGTTTACAACTCTAAATTTCTAGCAGCCTATTAAAAAAAAAAGAAAACACCAGTCTGGCTAAAAAATATCCTCAGGAAACCAGCCTGGAAGAAACACGGGAGAAACATGAATGAGCTATTTAGCTTTTCTTGGAAAATGGTAAAAGTCTCAGAGGAATGGGAGGCTGAGCATTCCCCAGATTTTTGTCAGGCACATGTGCCAGTCCACAAAGTGCTGGAACTCCAAACACAGAATCTGGATTGATTTCAGTTTCAGTAATTCAGGCGTTTGTGGCATGGAACACACACCACCCAGAAGGCAGCATCCTGAGTTACCAGAAGTTCCAGTGTGTAATTTTAGGCAACACTTTCAGCTGCTTCTACATAGGGATAGTAAGTTAGTCATTCAGTTCACATAAGCAATTTTTTTTTTTTTTTTACTATTTAAAAAAGAAATCCTGACTCAGTCAATGTTTGGGACTAATCAACTGAATTAATTTATTTTTCAGGGGCATGTAGTTCTAGCTTCAAGCTACTGATATCTCCATTTCAGTAACTCAGTGGAGTGTTAGTTGAGTGGATATCATGCTATATACCACTGCATCCGATGTTATGAGCTGTGGAAACACAACATGGTATCTACTACTTTCAGGGAGCTTGCAATCCAGCCAACGCAACTGGATAAATACTTATGAAACAGTCAATTCATCTGCTAAACTGGGACTGTGTTGAGGACACCAAAGAGGTCCGCCCGTCTATTTCCTCACTTCACGCGAGAGCAGCAGGCACTCTGGCAATTGCTTTTTGCATGTTCTTCTTACACAGTGAGTGAAAAACTGAGCACAAAAGTTTAGGTGCAAAACTGAAAATGCATTGGAGTGTTTCTATGCTTCACAGCCAACAGGAAGAATTGGGCATGTTGGCGTTTCAGTGCACAAGTTGGCTGCAGTGACTGCCCCCTGAGGCCCTGCCGCCCCCTCCATCCTCTGTGAGCTCTGCAGGGTGGTGGGGGTCCTAGGTGAGAGGTCTTCCTCTTTCCAGGAAAGACAGAGTCTCCACACAGGTTCCCCTACCCTGCGACAGGTCTCAGAAAATTGTCTACTAAGAGAGGTGTCTAGAAACATGTGGCAGATGGTCAGTTCCCCCAAATCCATTTTCATGTGTTCTCTGGACATGAAGCTAATTAGCTAGAGACTACTTCTCAACTGTCCTTTCAGAACATAGACTAAAGAACTGTCTATGAAATGTGAGGAGAGTGATATGTGCAACTTCTGTTTTCTATCCTAACTGGAAACCCCTCTTCCTAGACTTCCTGTGGGGTGGAACCTGGATGTGCTGGTAACTCCATTAAACCGAGCAGATGAGCGCCACCCAGGAGAATAGAGGAGCCACCAGAGAGGGAGAATCCGGGCCTCGTCTTCACTGTGGGCAACTGGACATCCCGCCAACCTGGAATGTACAACTCCAGAGGGTTGTGTAAAAGAGAAGGCAATTCAATTTTGTGAGCCACTGTATTTTGGGATCTGTTTAATAGAAGAGTTCTTTATGGAGAAAGAACTGTGAAAAGGTAACAATTTTTACAGTTTTCACAGACTACAGTAGTCCTGGCAGTGGAGGTTGGGAAAGGGTATTAAAAAATCACAGAGGAATTTCTCTAATCACATAATATTTGAATTCAGTTAAAATAATAAATGTAAGTCAGTAGTTTTAAGAGTTAAGTCGGAAGAGGGTTTCTTAGGTACCATGCTGTCCAGTTCCAAGCAGGTTGGGAAATGCTAGGTCAGAGTTAGTGGTGCCGTCATGCAGTCAACATTTGCAGTTTTGGATTGTGGGCCAGGCTGTAGAAAAGGGGGCTCCCCAGACACACAGGGCACTGCCGTTTCTGTGGGTTGTGGGGGTTGTGACAGGGTTTGGGCAAGCCTGTCACACTTTCCTTCATATATTAATTTTTGTAAGTGAGATTTTGTGTCTTACAGAGCAATATCCTGACTCTTTTGAAGTAATTATTAACAAGCAAGTTATTTCAGGATGGCAACAATACAGTTTTCAGACTTACAGATGTCAATGTAGTTATTGTTGGGCTTTCTGTCTCAGGTTTTATTTTCCCTCAGCTTTATTGAGATGTAATTCACATATAACACTGTGAAAGTTTAGATGTACAATGTGTGAACTTGATACACATACATTGCAAATTTCTGAGGTTTTTAACACTGTTTTCAGAAATAGGATATTTCTTTCTCTCTCTCTCTTTTTTTTTTTTTTAACAGAGAAGAAGAGATACAGAGGTTTGAATAGTCTGCGTTGGGTGTATTGTTTGACTCCCTTTTGTTGGGTTGGTTTTTTGCATATCTAAGAAATCTAACAAGGAGTCCAAGTTTCAGCTTTTGCAGGTCAGGAAATGGTTAGTGTGCCCCAGACTTGCCTTACAGACACGCTGAGGATGAAAATCTGCTTTTTTCTTTTCTTCTCCCTGCCCCTTCCGCCCATCTCTCACCCCAAAGGTTGTATCTCACCCCAACCCTCCCAAAGGGTTCCCTGGGAATCAGGGCATGCTTGACTGCCCCTGGAGAATGGCCGCCCATCAGCACAGCTGCTCCCTGGAATCAGCCTGGAAGCCAGGCTCTCTCCAGGGCCGGAGGAGGGAAGAGGGGAGCCTGGGGTCACCCACGGCTGGATTTCCTATGGTTTCCTTGTGTGCGCTTTTTTACTGTGCTCCAAAAAACAGTGCCTGGAAGAGGCCTGGGGAGTCCCATCAAAGGTACTGGCATGCGGCCAAAGCCTGACTTCTCCCGGCCGCGGCCACAGGAGCTCCACTCTCTGGGTCTCCATTTCTGTCCAGTTAAAACTGACAGGGAAGGTTGATGAGATTTAAAATGGGCAAATACTACAGCTTCTGAAAAAGAGGAAGCCAGAGATATGCTGTCCACTGCTGAAATACTGGCAAGGCCACTCCAGCTGGGGGCATTTTATTCAGCTCTTTTCTAGAAAAACTTGGCTATTTTTAGTAGACCATTGCAAATAGCATGTAATCAGGGCTAGTCTTAGGAGTACCCACTTGGTAAAGTGCCCGCTGAGTCGATGGACGAATGAGTAAGTGTCCTATTTTATTTTGGTTCCGATTTTTCACCTACTTGGTCCAATACTTGCCCCCTTTCCAAATAAATGGTGATTAATATTTCCTTTTAATATTAATAGATCTTTTTAGTCAGAAAAAGAGTCTGGTTTATGATAAAATGTGGTAAAAGAAGAAAAGGTGGGGTACAAAAACTAAGCCCTCTATCAAGCTGAAAGATGAAATACCTCTTTGGTTGGAAGTTTTCTGAATAAAATATTGCTGAGAAAAGTGGAGAAGATGGAAATGTTTGTGTGTGTGCGTGTGTGTTTATGCATATTTTAAAATGTTATATAAGCAGAAGGAATTTCGGTAACTCTATAAAATCACCACAATTTATGACAGTTTAAAAGACAATTTCTTTTTAAGGGAAAATTTCTAACGTCTCACATACTGGTATGGGAATGTCATGGTAAATCCTTCTCTTACCGACAAGACCCCTGAGAAGAGGTATGAGAAAGAGTTACTGTTCCCTTCCCATTCACGTCTCTTGAAAGCCCGTGGCTGTGAAACTGTCCCGGAACACACAGTCCCGGGTTTCAAAGCAGCCTGGGTGACTTTTCAGAAATGATCCATTGTGATGCTTTGTTCTGGCCGGGTCGCCCTCATTGTGTTCTGCTGGGGCTGGGTCACCCTTCTCCCGCCGCCATTAATCCACCCTGTCCACTCCTCCCCATTCAGAGGCACATTCTGCCCTCTGCCCAGCAAAGGGAGCCTGGAGTGAAATGGCTGTTAGGCTCATCACTGCTACCGAGAGAGAGGCCAGGGAGGAAACAGGAGAGGGATGGGGGGTGCCGGGTGCGGGGTGCTGGGTGTGCAGACTCACCTGGGAGGTGGGCACGTGGGGAGAAAGGAACAAGGAGTGGGGAGGGAGGGGAGCAAGCAGTGGGAAGAGGCTTTATCCTTTTTTTGTTTGTTTTTAGATTTTATTTTTTTATCTTTAGAGGGGAAGGGAAGGAGAGAGGGAGAGAAATATCAATGTGTGGTTGCCTCTCGTGCATCCCCTGCTGGGAACTGGCCTGCAACCCGGGCATGTGCCCTGAGGTTTCCAGGCCAGCGCTCAATCCACTGAGCTACACCAGCCAGGCCGAGGCTTTATCCTTTGTTGGGAGCCAGGGCAAGCTGGAAAGAAACCCTTTCTTACAGTTTAGGTGTCTGGCTGAGCTGCTCCATGTGGCTCTGGGTTCACCAGCTCGTGTCCCCTGCAGATGAGCCCTCCCTTATTTTTCAGGTTTGACTCTGTTCACTCCCTCCAGTTGGGCGTCTAGGCTCCTTGTGACTTAAGGGTGGTCGGCTGGGATTAAGTGCCAAACTGTCAGTGAGTTGTAAAAACAGAAAATTAAATCCAAAATCTGCTGTTTGGTTCGTAACTCAAATTTGGTTTGCATTCTTATGTTCTCTTGGAAATCTCATTATGTTCAGTTATATTTTAAATGGGGAAAATGGTTCTTTCTACTTCCACTCTGTTCTATACATCACTCAATTTTAACAGTGAAAGGGGACTGTCCAGAAGTCCCAAAAGGTCCTGTGATATCCTGGGTTATAGAGTGACAAACATCTCCAAAATAGTAGCAGCTTGATATTATTGCCTGTTGTTTTCACTGTACACCCAGTGGGGACAGTAGGGGCTCTGTCATTATGACTGGTCACAAACCCAGGGCACGAGAGGGTTGCTCTTGGCACTCAGGTCTGAGTAGGCAGAGGAAGGTCCCTCTGAACACTCTCACACTGGCAATAAAATATCTGGACCATGCAGTGATTCCCCTAAAAACTAGTCAGTCCGATGGCTGTGCCTGACTCTGGTGTCCAGGAGGAAGAGAAGATTCAGCCATCTGCCAGTAAATGTTCTGCACATGTTCTCAGGGAGAAGCTGAAGGCCGCACACACATACATGCATACACACATGCACACAAACATGTATACATGCATACGGACACACAAGCAGGGCAGCAAAGCATTTTGAACTGAATAATAAAAGCTAGGGATTAAATATGTTGAGTGTCACAGTATAATTAGTTCTAACCCCATTCTCATTTGAGCTGTGTGTGTAGTTTTAGGCAAATTACCTAACTTTCTGGGCCCCCACTTCATCATCAGTAAAGTGAGTCAGTGGGTCTAGATTGGTTTTTCTCAAAATTGAGTGGGTTTTAGATCACTGAGAGGACTTTTAAAAACATTAATTGCAGGTGCTCACCCCCAGAGATGTGGTAGGCTTGGGGTTAGGCCCACAGCTTTGCATTTCTAACAAGTTCTCAGGGGATGCTGATGCTGCCGGTCCAGGGATCACAGTGTTACCAACCAACCTGTTGGGGAGGGGCCCAGGTACTGTCCCCCAAACAAACCCCCTCCCTATACTATTGTTCTTCTAGCCTGCCTCCAGGTGTTAGGAATTGTGGCTTTCAATGCTAGAGTTTGGTGAAGAGGAAAGGAACTATTTATTCAAAAGTTATATAGGTTTTGAGTGATGGCAGAATGTCACCATTAATTTTCAAAGTCTCTAAAACACCCACAAACACATACACAGTCCTGCCTCTCCTTGCTAAACCAGGCCAGTAGGGGTACTGCATCTCAGGAAAAGAAATAGAAGTCTGTAGCTCAGCTAGACTCCCAGTTCCTCCCAGTCCGTACTCAGCTGGGCAGGTCTCCTGTAGTCTTCAGCACCATCAGCTGTGTAGCCTTGTTACAGAACAACAGAGGGCCCCCACTAAGGACAGCATACTAGTACCTTCAGGACCCCCTTCTGGGATCGACTGTCCGTTCTCCAATAGGAAAGACATCTCTCAATGCCAGAGATTTGTGAAAAGGAAAAGAAATGTTTATTTAATTCTATACAGACTTAAACTAGTGACCTAATGTCTTCATTAAAATATCAAAGTCCTTTAAGATACCCACAGATGCACACAGCACTCCCTTCTCCCCCTGTCCTAATTTAGGGTACCGTAACTCAGGAAAATAGCACACGTCCGTGTTTCCAGGCCGCTGGCACCATCAGCTGTGTCGCCGTCCAGGCAGGATCTCTAATTACTCCAAAGCCATGTGGCGTCTTCTCACAGTCCACTGGCAAGAGTTCTTTGTACCCATTTTTCCAGGCAAAGTCTCTCTTGCTTCCCAGGCCACGTGGCCAAAGGCAGCACCCCAAAACCATGTGGGCCTCTTCTACCAAAGCTGCGAAGGGGTCTGCACTCTGCCAAAAGTGTGTGGCTCTCCCCCAATGGCTGCCATGTCTGGGTTTAAATCCCCGCGCCAATCTTCTGTACTCCCATTTCTGACTCCTCCTACAATCAGTTACACCTGCCAGCATTTCTGTATTATTCCAAGTTTACTGGGCTGCCATCGTGAGTCTGGGCAGGTATCGCCCCATGGAGCCAATCTTCTCCAAGCTCCCATGCAGGCGCTGTAACTCGGGGTACCTGCCCCCCAGTTACATCTTGGGGGTAAGTGACTCCCATCCCCTAGGCTCCAAGCATGGTCAAAGCTATTTAACATATCTAAGCGAATAGCGAAAGGCTATAATATGTTAAATAACCATGCCTTGGATTAGCTGCAAAGCCCTTGCTGGACAAAACAGCCCTGCATGTTCCTGCTCCATGTGTCCCTTCCCCTGATTCAAACCTGTGGGGGAAGGGGTGAGGACATCTTATATGTTTCTTCAATATTTCCTAGACACCTTGAGTTCTGGACCCCATTCCAAATCCCTTTTCGTGGCCCTCCTCTTGGCTGCACCCTGTATCAGCCTTAGGTCTTCAGTTCTTAATTCAAAACCATGTGGCACTTCTTCATGGCTCACCAGCGGGAGTCTTTCACGTCTTTTCTTCTGGCATGGTCTCACATTGTCCCAGCACTATCTTCCGTCCCTGGTGGACGCCCGTCTGTAATTTAAATCCCAGCCTGGAACCTCCTCCGTAACCCCATTTCTGACTCCACCCACAATCGGCTACACCTGCCAGCACTCCTGCATTTTTCTGCCTGCCTTGGCTGCCATAGTTAGTCTGGGCAGGTGTGGCCTCATGGTGTGGAGCACACCATTTCCAAATTCCAGCACAGGCACTGTCACCCGGGGAGCTGCCTTCCAGTTACATCATGGGTTAAAGTCATGCACACCTTCCTGGCTCCACACAGGCTAGGAAACTAGTCTGCTGTTATTCATGTGCAAAAATAACTCTGCTGCCTTGCCCAGCCCCCATGCTAGTCTTGTGGGGAGTTCTGGGTCTCTCAGCCTACACCGCCTTATACTTTGAGATGGTCTTCAGATGAACTGTAGAGTCCGATGCAGCCAGCAAAGTCAATCTTTCCTATAGGGGATGAGGCGCGATTAGTAGTAAAGTTTTCATGTGGAAATGTGACTGGAAAATGATTCACCAGAGTGTCACCAACGCTTCACTTTTTTTTGACAGTGTATTTGCACATTGGGTTGACACACAGAGTTTAAAGATGTATCTCAATTACAAGATGTAGTCCAGATAGTTGCCCTTGTGGGGACAGAGATGGCCAATAAACTCTGAGCAATTACTTGAAATTAGACTTGTCAAATTTGTTTAGGGTGACCAGGCAAGTACATATATTGACCTAATGTCACTTCCTGAAGAGACATTGTAATGATTTTGTATATCAGCCAAACTATTCAAATACTAATACTGTCTTCATGCCTTAATCACCCATTCTAGTCAGATGTCATTTGTAGAAGCCCTTGGGGGATTTGCATCCCTTAATTATTCTTCAATACCCAAACCGAGCATTCTTTAATTGGTGTAAATTGAACAGTGTTGCAATGCAAACAAGGAGAGGGCACATTGATCAATGATTCTGTGCTTGCCTGTTGGAAAGTCTTTGCTATGAGATGGAGTAACAAATCCTTAACTCCATTTGTTTCAGTGGAAACACTAGCTCGTGGAGGTGACAAACACTGTTTCTCCTTAAGTCATCACAGTTGGGAAGCATGGAGTAAGTTAATATATTGTGATTCCAAAGTATCAACTCTTAGGGGAAGGATGAACATAATCCATCATAAGGTATAAAAGTGTCAAATCACATATATTCTACAACTGAAACTACTATAACCAATGAAATATTGTATACCAACTATAGTTAAAATCCATCATAAAGATACTCTGTTCCAATGTCTGAAACCACATTCAGGAGCTTTTTGTGAGAACTCAGCTAGATATATAAATGTCTAATTACTACATTGTACACTTGAAACCAACATTATATTGTATGTCAACTGTAATTGAAAAATTAAGAAAAATTAAAAAGGG